CGATAGAAACAGTCCACCATTCTTCCATACAGGAGATAGAAATCTCTTCAGCTTGGGAACACATCCCCAGTTCAATCCTTCTTCCTAAGGTGTTTGAAGGTGTTGAGTTGTGGGGGATTGAGGCCAAGTGGTGATGTGACTTCCACCTTTCATCTTGCCTGCCCTGTGGATGGAACTTCATTTTTCTAAGCAAAATTCCGCAGCACAATTAGTGGGAAAGTACAAGCACAAGATGGAGTCCAGTGTCACAGGCCCTTGCATGTTTGTTGAGTCATAGCAAGGGCCATTACCCATATCCTGGCTAGAACATTCACAGGAAAATCCACCGGGTGGGGATAAGCTTCTTCCATGGCTCATTGTGTTCACAGATGGGCATCAACTAGAATATCCATTCACAATGTGCTTGCTATAGGGGTATAAACTAGCGTGTGGGAGTTACAACAGAAGCAAACACATTTGAAATACAGGTACATAGTCAATATTCATAATTTCAGATATAAAAATTAGATACACATACAGATAGGATAATCATATTCAGCAAACCCCTGCTTTTCCATGGACACCTCACACAACATATTTTATCCTGCAGTCTGGGCTGTACCACAGGGGAAAAGCAAGCTGAGGTACAATGTCCCTCTCACTTTCCTTATTCAGCGAGTGTCACCTGCACTTTCTGTTTGTCAGACCTCAGCCGCACACGCATTACTGGTTCAACAGATGTTTTGCCACAGTATCCGGGGAGCCATTTGTCCCGTCAGTCACCATCATCATCTTCATGGCAAACCCCAAAGGAACTTAGCCTCCTTGCAAACCGAGTGTGCATAGATCGATCTCTGGGAAGGTGATTAAGAGGCTCTGGTTGTATATTCGTGCACAGTCTTCTTTGCTACTGACGCTTATGGTTCCTATGTAGACTGGCCATATAATGTCACTCCTTGGTGTGCCCACTTCAGATGTTGCTGGTCTTTCATTCTAGCTGCCAAAACTAACATAGCTGATGGGGGGAGGGTTACTGGCTTCAGTATAGCCTCACTCCTGATCTTGTGCTGCCACCTGATACGGAGCAGCGGCTGGAGACCAGGAGCATTGAAAACGTCAGCCCGGAGTTCCTCAGCCTTCCCATATCACTCCCATCCACGGGAGCTGGGGTACCCATTGTTCTATAGAGCTGCAGCTTTGTAGCAAGCCTGATGTCAGGACATCCCCAGAAAGGCCGCAGAAGGGAACAGAGCAGCAGCTGCTGCTCTACGAGCACCCTCATCTTTCGAGCAGCCTCCAGCCCTGTCTATGAAGCTGCCACCAGCCCAGCAATCCCTCCACACAAGTTAATACCGAGCAGGTTGCAGTTTGCAGCTGCAGGCTGCTTGATGGTAATGGCCAAGGACTTCATTTTACCTGGATTAATAACCAGACTAATGCACACTGCTTCTTGACAACCAGCTCAGCCCTCTGATGCAGCAATACCCAGTGCTACACCTGACAGCCCCTTGAGTGTTTCTAACTGGCACCTAAGGTGGGATGCATATTAGAAGTGGCAGAGACAGGCAGGCATGTGTGTGAGTTACAAAGGAAAGGGAGAGAAGGACACAAATGCATGGGGAGGGAGAGAGAGAGAGATGGGACAAAACCCACTAGAAAAGGGACATGCTGCCTCTTCCATTCTGGGGAGCACTTTCAAAGGGAGAGACAAACCCTCTCCCTGACCTCAAACTGGCACTGCCTGGTTTAGGAAACATTTCCTGCCGGGAACCTGGCTGGGTCTGCTCTCAAACCAGAGCAGTTGGGGAAAGACTGAAAGCAGAGGAGCCACATTTGGGTGAAGAGAACATCTTGTTGGAGCAGCGTTCAGGCCCTGGCTCTGGCTCTGGCTTTCTAGGCCCACTCTCGGGGTGCAGCTTCCATTCTAGCGCCTCCCTTTGGGAGCAGAGACCTGCACACCAAGGCACTGAAACTAGTTTCATACCCAGCTCCCCCAAACTCTTCGTCTGCTTTAGCACACCCTTCCTAGAGCTCCCACTGGGCGCGCTCTCTTGCCTGTTTCTCTCTTTCAGGGCACAGCATCATTAAAGCAAATCGACCCAGACCTTGCAAAAGGGGTTGTGTAATGGGTTGAACCCCCTTGTGGGTTACTGAGACAGACTCTTCTGCCAGTGTGGGCCCCCTTTTACCTGGACTTGCTGGGCTAGGCTCCCTAGCCTTATCCAACCAAGCACACAGGCAGGGCCACACCCAGCTCCACAGAGACAGTGTGTGACATTGTACTCCTTATGCTTTATGAAAATATGCTTATGGATATGAATATGACAAGACTGTAATGTGCTTTATGTGAAATGCCTCATGTAACTTGTCTCTAGAAAGACTGTCATTTGCTGGATATGATTACTCTATTTGCATGCATGTATCATTTTTGTAGAAGAAGTTAGGAATATGGTCTTGTTTATCTATATTTTACGTTCATGGCTTTGGGTCACTCCCTCTGCTTACACTTCAGGGTCTTCAATGGGGAAGACAGATGGGGCTTAATTGCCCATTAGCAGATAAAAAAGCGTAACCTTCCTGTGCATGTGTGAGTCAGCCTATAAGGAATGGAGACTGAGGTCTTGCAGGGACATGTGACCATGTCACCTGATACTGGAATCCATGTTGAAGCTGGTACTTTTCCACAGGGAAGGGGGGGGGGGGAACAAAGGTTTCCCGCCTTAGAGAAATTCTATATAAGGCGGGGGAAGTAAACAATGTGTGTCTTCAGATGGCTTCACAGACTGCCTCCCCACCCCAAAGAAACACTGGAGAACACCTGTAAACAAAACGACCATAAGTACAGGGATGGGCAAGAAATGCTGTACCCAGGTCAGAAAGGACAACACTGACCTGAGAAAGACTTTACCTGAAATAACATCTAGGGTGAGTAGCTGTTAGTTGTAATCAGTTTCTTGGTGTATTAAGTTTAGCCTTGCATGTTTGTTTTATTTTGCTTAGTCACTTACTTTGTTCTATCTGTTATGACCACTTAAATTATACCTTTTGAACTTCATAAAATCACTTTTGTTTATTAATAAACAATACATGTAAGTAATTGTTACCTGGGGGGGCAAACAGTTTGCTCATATCTCTCTTTCTATGATAAACAGGGTGAACAATATGAACTTATACTGTATAAAATTTTATACAGTGTAAGGCAGATTTTTCTGGGGTTTAGATCCCATTGGGGCTATGCAACTGGGTGCTGAGAAAAGTCCCTTTTAACTGAATGACCCTAGAGCTGAAATAAACTCAGTGTCTGTATCTTCTGCAGAGGGGTGTGGCCCAGTCTCTGTGTCTGTGCTGGAGTGCCTGATACAGCAAGACAATGGCAAGGGGTGCCCAGGCTGGCAGAAGGGTCAGGCTCAGTGGTATCTCAGCACATCAAGTGACAGTCCCAAGGGGGTCTCTGTGACCGAACCCGTCACACAGAGATCCACTCTGAGAAGGCTCAGCTTAAGGAGCGTGTACAGCAACCAGATATCCATGCCCACCTTGGAGAAAAAAACCAAAATTATATGAAATTCACCTCTTCCCACAATATGGAAGAGGATATGCACAATTTCTCACATATGCCCCTCCAGTTAGAAATTACATAAACTGGAACCAGAACTAAATTTATTAACAATAGCAGTTATATTTTAAGTAGTTAAGGAGGTAGCAGATTACGAAGAAAACAAAACAGAACACGCAGACTAAGCTTAATACAATATAGAAACTGGTTACATGTGAGTTCTCACCCTAAATGTGGTTCTAATAATCTCCTTCACAGGCCAGACGCCCTTCTAGCGTGGGTCCAGTTCTTTCCCCCAGTTCAGTCTTAGTTGTTTCCAGCAGTAATCTTGGGTGGGGTAGCAGGGGAGAACGGACCACCAGGATGACATCCTTCTCCACCCTGAAATAGGATTTACATAAGGCAGGAGTCCTTTGTTTCCTCGTTTGACCCCCACACCAGTTTCTTGTGGAAAAGTACAGAATTCAATATGGTTCCAGTATCAGGTGACATGGTGACATGCCTCTGATGGGCCCCTTTAGCCATTCTTCACAGGCTGACCCACAGGAAGACAAAGCTCTTTTGCAATTCTTTGTCAGTACTGAGGGCCCATTATCGCTGACTGGCATTTCCATTGTTGTATCTGAAGTGTTAGCAAATTTAAAACAAACAAAAGAAAGTATTTCTTCACAGTCAACATGTGGAACTCTTTGCCATGGGATGTCATGAAGTCCAAAACTATAAGACGGTCTCAATAAGAACTAGAGAAGTTCATGGAGGATAGCTCAATCAATGACTGTCAGCCTGGATGGGCAGGGATGGTGTCCCTTAACTCTGTTTGGCATAAGTTTGGAGTCGGTGACTGGGTGTGAATCACTTGACAATTGCTGTATTCTGTTCATTCCTTTTGAAGCGCATGGCATTGGCCACTGTCAGAAGAAAGGATACTGGGTTTGATAGACTATTGGTCTCACCTAGTATGGCCATTCTGATGTTCTTATACAGACCCCAGATATATCTGCCCCCTGTAGAAACACACTAGACCCTACTAGAGATTTCAAGAGCCTAAGTAGCCCCTGGAAACACGGTTATGGTGGGCCCCAGCCTAAATCTGAAATGGCTCCCTTGCAGCTGGGTGTGTAGGAAGGGAGGTGAAAATGATCCAGTGAGTTTCAGGGGATGGGGAGTAGAGGAGCAAGACATGAAGGAAAGAGGAGGAGCAGGGACAGAGCCTTGGCAGAAGAGGGGGGATAAGGGGTGGGGTTTGGGGGGCCCGGTTATCAGCAGTTGGAAAGGTGGAAACCCAATGAGTTCTACATAGACCGATTCCCCAGTTTGTTACACTGACACTGAACAGTAAGGTCAGGAAAGGGTTTCATGTCTCTTTGACTGCCCAGTCAGTAATTATGGGAAGAGGGTGCAGCACCATGCACCAGCCAGCTCTGCATGGAGCTCGGTCTGAGAACCAGACCACCAGGAGACAACTTTAGGTCCCTTTATAAGTGAAGAGCCAGAACATCCTGTTTCTGATTTGTTTGGTCCACACCCCGTAGATGATGGGGTTCAGCATGGGGGGCACCAAGAGGTACATGTTAGCAATGAGAACGTGGAAGTGCAGGGGGACATTCTGGCCAAACCGGTGCGTGAGGATGGAGAACAAAGATGGGATGCAAAAGGTTAAGAAGACAAAGAGGTGGGAGCCACAGGTCCTAAAAGCCTTGAGCCGGGCGTCCCTTGCGGGGAGGCTGAAGATGACCCTGAGGATCTGGATATAGGACACAGCAATAAAAAACACATCCACACCAGTCACCAAGAATGCCAGAAAGAGGCCGTAGTAACTACTGACACGGATGTCAGCACAGGCCAGCTTCACCAAAGCTATGCCATCACAGTATGTGTGTGGGATGATGTTGGTTCTGCAATATGGCCACTGCCTTGCCAGGATGGGATTGGGCATTACGAGCATGCTGCTGCGCAACAGCAGAGCCAGGCCGATCTTGGCCACCCTGTGGTTTGTCAGGGTGGTGGAATGTCTCAGGGGATCACAAATGGCGATGTAGCGATCAAAAGCCATGGCCACAAGGATCCCAGATGCCATAACTGTGAAGCACTGAACAAAGTACATCTGGGTGAGGCAGGCGCTGAAATCGATCTCCCTGGAATTGAACCAGAAGATGTTCAATGTTTTGGGCACAATGGACGTAGATATGACCAGGTCACTGCCAGCCAGCATGCAGAGAAAGTAGTACATGGGTCCATGGAGGCTTGGCTCCCTCTTCACAATGAATAGGATGGTGAAGTTCCCCAAGACGGCTATGACGTACATGGTGCAAAAGGGGATGGCAATCCAGACATGGGCCACCTCCAGGCCAGGAATGCCCAGCAGGATGAAGGTGGAGGGGTTGGTGAAGTCGGTTGTGTTGAAATCTGACATGAAGTAGGGGAGAAGGTCCAACTCTGAGGCAAACGGTATCTGCTGCATGTATCCTAGGTTCCCCTGGCTTCCTGTATATGCCCAAGCACTAGGGTAATTCCTGGATGGAGAGACAATGTGTATATGAGACATACATGCACTACTTGGGGCTGTTCTTACGGGTGACGCAGATTGGTCGCTCATTGCACACTGAAAAATGAATTATGAACAACTGAATTCATGTTCATGGTACTCCATGTATCAATAATTCCTACATGTCATGGTGTGGGAAACCTTAATAGGCACCAGAAGAAAACACAAATGTGGATACTGGCTTTCCATCATTGTTCCTTAGTGCAATGAAAGCCAGGCTAGTTTGTCATTGTAGTAAGCCATTCACCATTTACTTGGTTCCTCAAAATGTGAGAGTGCAAAAAACACCAAACCTTTGCCAAAACCAGGGCCGGCTCCAGGCACCAGCTTACCAAGCAGCTGCTTGGGGCGGTCACTTTGGAGAGGGGCAGCACGTCCAGCTGTTCGGCTGCAATTCGGCGGACGGTCCCTCACTCCTGCTCGCAGCGAAGGACCTCCCGCCGAATTGCCGCCGCAGATCGCGATAGTGGCTTTTTTTTGTTCGTTTGTTTGTTTGGCTGCTTGGGGCGGCCAAAACCCTGGAGCTGGCCCTGTCAATAATTAGTGGGGTGGGGCAGGAGGAAGCAATAGATAACAAATGGGAAACAGGAAACAATAGATAGCAATCAATACAAATTACGAAAGTTCATAAGGGACATTAAAGACATTGGTAGATATCAAGAAATAGTTTTGTTCTGCATTACGAAAATATGCAGGCCTGACCAATAGACTAGATCACTGTATTATGGAACGCAGGGACCCTGAAAGGGATTTAGAGGTCATTGTGGACAATCAACCACAATGATTGTGAGCTACCTGTATGATGCTGTGGCCAAAAGAGCTGATGTGATCATTGGATGTATCAATGGGGGAGTGCAGAGTTGGAGCAGGGGAGGACTTTACCTCTGCACATGGCATTGGTGAAACTGACTGTGTCCAGTTGAGGGGTCCACATTTCAAAAAGGATAATGAAAAATTAGGAGGGTGCAGAAAAGCGCTACAAAAAGGATTGAAGGCTGCAGAAAATTCTAGAGAGTGTGAGACTTAAAGAGCTTCATCTATTTACCTTATCAAAAGGAGGATCAAATGGAAACTTTCCTGGGGAGAAATCTGTGGTAATAATGGACTCTGTAATATAGCAGAGAAAGACAGAGGAAAGCCCAAGCCAGGCAAATTTCAGCTGGAAATAAGGGCCAAATTGTTAGGTCTGAGGGTGATTGAATATTGGAACTAACTGCAAAGGGAAGAGGAGGATTCTCCAATTCCCCATGTCTGCAGACCCAGATATATGCCTCTCTCAGGGTAGGTCCTACTTTTAACAGGGGGTTGGACTAGATAATCTCATGAGCCTAATCTCTATAATTCTATGATTCTGTGATACTCAGCACTGGTGAGGCCTCAGCTGGAGCACTGTGTCCAGTTTTGGTGACCAATGTAGAGGAAGGATGTAGAGAAACTGGAAAGGATCCAGAGCCGAAAGACAAACCTGATCCAAGGGATGGAATATAAGCCATATGTGTAAAAGCTGTAGGAACTGGGTATGTTTAGTTTGGAAAAGAGACAATTAAGAGGGGACATGACAGCGGTCTTCAGATACTTGAAAGGTTGCCAAAGAAAAGGTGGAGAAAAGTTGTTCTGTCTTACCACAGAAGGCGGAAAAAGAATTCGATCTCCAGCATAGCAGATTTAGATGTAATTTAATGAAAAAAATCATACCTGTCCAAACAGGAGGTCAATGGAACAAGTGATTAGGGAGGTTGTGGAAGCTCCTTCGCTCACAGTTTTCCAAAGAAGGCTGGATAGTCATCTGTCCTGGATGGTTTAGATGCAACAAATCCTCCATCTCGGCAGCTGGCTATATTAGATGAAATTTGCAGTCCCTACTCACCCTGTGGCTCTATGATTCAATGATGTAAAATCCTAGTCTATACCAGGTCTCAGTCTAACACAAGTCATTAGGGTCAATACTGGGGTAACCAGGTGAAATGTAATAGCCTGTGTTATACAGGATGTCAGAATGGATGATCTAAGATCTGAGATTGAACCCTATGAAATTATTAATAAAGAAAGTAGATCAGGAATTTATGTTTACTCCATCTCATAACACACAAATAAGGGAACATTCAGTTCCATTGAAAGACTGAATGTATAAATCATATTTGGCCTGTGGAACTTTTTGACACCAACATTATTGGAGCAAAGAGCTTAGCAGAATTGGATTCATAAATGGATCGACCATTGTAAGTGCTGCTGGTGGCACCGCCGTCAGTTATGGCTGTCTGACACCTTCAATTAGAAATCCTCAATTTCAGTTATTTATAAGTTTGCCAAACTTTAACCATTTGGACAGTAATTTCCCATGCTGGGTGTCGGCTGCCGGCTGAATTGTTTTTTGAAAGTTTTAGGCACAATAAGTCAGCCACCTTCTCTAATGAATCTAAGATTTAAGATGTCTTGCCCATGTTGAATAATTGTTACAATAGTTCCAGTGTGGAGCCCTAGCACCTCCATATTTCTCAGCAGATCAAAATCAGGGTAACAACCTCCCCTCTCCCCATTAAGAGCCAGAGCCCTGAAATGCAAGAGGAAGCGGTGACAGACACTGTACATTAACATGCAGCTGGCTCCTGAGGTCTTTACTCAGATCTTTCTCCAAGGGGAATTTTTCTTCCATGCAGCCTGAGTAAAGTGCAGGCCACAGCCTCAGAATTTGGATTTGTATTGTACGTCTGCTAACACCTTTCATCGTGAAGGATCCCCTGTGCCACTAAAATGCAGCCATCTCAGGGCTGGAGGCCATCAGCCAGGGTGGGCAGGAGTGCACAGCAAAGCGTGAGGTTTTGGCTCATGATACTGGAGCAAACTCGTCCCCTATGGCAAGGGGCCCTGTGATGTTTAATGGCTGTGCAGAGTGGAAAGAACAACAGATCTATTCTCTATTCCATCATGCCCATGTTGTACTGGGTGTTTCAAGCAGCAAGAGATGGGTACCTGTGACTCCTCAGGTAGCCGTGTCCCACACCTGTCTCACCCCAGCATCTGCAGCAGCATCGCACGCCAAGAGCCGACACAGGGGTGTGCACCGTTTATAATATAGCTGTATGCAGTCCCAGTGGGGTTTGGTCAGCCTCTAGGGGGGAGGTGAGCATCTGGATGTAAACAGGTTGGAGACCAGCCTGTCTGTGCTTCTGTGTTCTTTATCCAGTTTTAGGAGTAAACAGTAATTAAGGGACCTTCCCAAAGGGAGATAAAAACTCTTGGGCTTTCCGCTGAATCAGAGAGGAAGTGGCTGCTCTGTGTATTTGTGTATATTTAAAAATTATAGTTGATTAGTTAGAAAACTAGGCATAATGCCTAGATCTCAACAGGGTCGGATACCATGTAAATGCCCAGGATGACTGGGAAGATAATATCCAAGGTCACACAGAGGTTGAGTGGCAGGATTGTGACAGATTTCTTTTATCAATCAGCCTGAGGCATCAGGTGATCTGTCTGAGGCCACAGGATCGTTTGGTGACGAAACGCACCAAGTGTCTAAATTTTAAAGCTTTATTAATAAAATAATAAAATAACAGTGGAGAGTGCTGGGTGCTCCCCACATCACTCAGAGGAAGGAAGAAAGCGTTAGTGCCCCAAGCCCTAACCCACTTCCATACTCACACACGCTCTACCTGAGGCTGGCCAAGCCTAGGTGTAACATAAGAAGAAGAGGGGGAAGGGTGGACGGGAGTTCTGTCCTGGGCCCAGGCCGTCTGAGGTCCGCTGTTGAGCTCCGCCTTGTTTGGGCTCTCAGGAGGGTTTTAAGTCCTGGGTTCCTTTGGGGGTGTTGTTGTCCAGGACCCGCTGTGCCTGGTGTTCTTTGTACCAGTCCCAATCAGCTCGCTGTGACCTTCTTGGCTGCCCAAAACACACCGGCTCAAGGGGACTTTGTTTTCCCACCCGTTGGCCTTCACTGTCGCCGCCTCATTCACTCTCACTGTTCTCACTGCTATCTCTGCAGCTCTGCTCAACTGAATCTGCCTTTCTCATGGCTGGTCGGTGAATTCTGGGCCCCCCTCTTTCTTGGCAGGCAGCCGAGAGTTAGATGTGTGTTGTGGCCTTGAGTGGGCTGGAGTCAGCATCTTATCTTTAGGCCTAGCGTGGAGTTGACTCTTTCTCTGCTCTCTTCCTTCTTCCCCCTCTGGCCTTTCGTGACCTGCAAATGAATCTTCCATTCCACACTCACTCACACCTTTGACCCTTCCCCAAAATGCCTTGCGATGCTTGCAACAGCATTAGCAATATACAGTGCTGATCTACCTTCCCCAGGGGACCACTTGAGGGAGGGGGCCATTGGGGTGTGTCAGGATGACAGAGAGAACTCAGGAGTCCTGACTTCCCTGTTGTAACCATGGTCTCCATCATGCCAAGAGGAATTCTCTTTCTGGTAGGGACTGTTCGTTGGGTGGGATGCAGAGGAAAGGCTGGAAGAGGGAGCTTGAGCCTTCGCCATCCTCTCAAGGTGAATTTGAGGTTTTCAGAACTAGCTGGAGGTTGTGAGCTCCCCGCTCCTGAGAGATGTGAACTCTGAGACTCCACTTCCGCTCCCACTCAGAGACCTGCCAATGCATCACAGTCAATGGGGTTGCTTTGGGGGAACAGATTCAGTAAAAGCAACACCAACAGAATATTCCTGTGGATAGAGGTCAGCCGGGAGCCTGTCCTGGGGAGAGAGCCATTGCCCTCCCTCCACAGCTACCCATGAACAATGGGGGCCCTATATTCTTCTGCTCTACTCCACGTTGATTAGGCATCAACTGGAGTATTGTGTCCAGTTCTGGGAGCCACATTTCAGGAAAGATATGGACAAATTGGAGAGAGTCCAGAGTAGAGCAACAAGGATGATTAGGGGTCTGGAAAGCATGACCTATGAGGGAAGATTGAAAGAACTGGTTTTG